TCTCTCCTCTTTCCTTTCTCCTCTCCCCTTTCCCTCTCCCCCTCCCCTCCCCCTCTCTTTTTCGTTTTTCCCTTGCTAGTTTTCTTCGTTCTCGCGGCGAGGGTGGTATTGTGCTGGTTGAGGGTTCGACATTCCACGTACGGTGCCCGTTGTGTACGTTTCTTTGATAAAATTGAGAAAAAAGAGGCATGCTATCCTTGATTACGAAACGATGGTCGTTTTATACGTTGAAAAAGCATAAAATAATCGATAAAATATTCATAAAGTTGGTTATCTTTTAATTTAGTATTTAGAGAAGTAAATTCATTCGATCGTATTGACGTTATTATTCATTGAGAAAGAAAACAGGCTCCACTCGTGTATTAATTAAAAATTCAAGGTTGTCGTAATTATCGATTACGTATCGGTCGTTTGCATTTTTTACGTATGTTTTCTCTTTGCGGAGAATCCTACGTGTAAAAAAAACGTCCCGTTCTCTACGCAATTGTGTCCCCGCTAATTGCTGCGGACACGAACAATATATAATATTTGACAAAACATCAGGGCTCGCCCTGAATGCCCACCCTTAATTACATTCATGAAAGAGCTCTTTCGATGTCTGATATAGAAAGTGAAACGGTGTCGAGAAGCGTAAAGAGGATTTATGTAAACAAAAAAGGCGTCAAAGTATGATGAGCACACTCAAGAGGATGAGTCGTTTTAATGGTTCTATATTCTTTATGAGTCGTGCTAAGTATACACGCGCGTTCTCGCCCATGGCACATGGGCGCGCATATACGCGTAGGTCAGGCCGAAGGTACGGAGAAAAATTGTACGGGGTAGCAGAGAGTAAGCGACAGGGGATGAAGAGGGAAAAAGAGGCAAGGCTTGTAGTAGAGTTTATGGGCAATGGCTGACGAGGCAGTGAAAAAGTACTAAAACCAAGAGGAGCAGATAAACGCTATGTTAAGCAGACCGTTTTACCAGCCATTTAATATAATCGGCTCTCTCGCGGAGCTCGGATAACTTCGGATCAGGACCGTACCAAGTCAGATTTCTCCCCATTCTCTCTCTCTCTCTCTCTCTCTCTCTCTCTCTCTCTCTCTCTCTCTCTCTCTCTTATTCGCGACCGATAAACGTTGTGTAGCAGCTTGTACTGATATTACGAATGTTACACTAGATTTTTATTACACCTGCCGAGAAATATATATATATATATATATTTTTTTTATCTTTCAATGATTCATTCATTCGTTTGCGCACAGCGTTATAAAATAATTCGAAATGTCACGAGGAAATCACGTATTGAAACAGAAAAATGTATCTTTCCATTCTTCGCTCGGCCGAGAGATCTATTTTTAATGGACTGTATTCTCATTTGAATATCTCGTATCATGACCGATTGCTTCGTTGCGTTGTCACGGTCATTCGAAACAGTTCTCCTTCGAAACGCGTTGATCTTTGAAAACCTGTTTTGGTCAACCCCGTTTAGGCCGATTTCCCATGGGATGTACAAAGATCCCTAGTTGGGAAGATAGTTGGGAGAAAGAGAGAGGGGTGGGAAAGGGAAGGAAGGAGAGAAAGAGAGAAAGCTCGAAAATCCGCGGGATTTCTCGAACCCGCTTTTGACCAACCCCTAATCCATTTTCTTCTTCTCTTTCTTCCTCTCCTCCTCCTTCCACGCTCAGAGATCTTTTCTTTGAATAGTTCTTCACAGCGGTGGTATAATCGTCGACGCCACATACCGTGATCTCCTAAAAATATTCCTCACCGCTATCGACGTAGATCCAATACCAGAAATACAATCATTTCAAGGCGTGAAATCTCTTTTCTGAGAAGTGGAATTTTTTGTTTTGTATTTAATTTTTTAAAATTCGATTCGAATCGAGATTTAATGAAATTACACTTATATAGCAAGGATATATATATTTTTCTAAATATTTTTTGTATTTTTTGATAATATTTCGAAGATATTTCGATGACGAAATATAATCTTTAATCCTTTGCGAACGATTTTTTACTCTTTCGATTCCCGACAAGTCGAGAATATTTTCTACATAATATAAAAACTTATATATTAGGAATAAGCAAAGATATTTGCTATTTTATAAAAATTTTCTCACTATCAAATGTATACCAGAATTAAATTAATTAAATTTAACGTAATTTAATTCTAAGGGTGACATTCGTCTGCAAAGGATTAATATTACGTAACCTAAAACCCGAACCACAAGCTCACTAAGACTAACTTTAAATACGTATAGCTTTGAAAAAAAAATAAATTCACAATTATATTTCTATTATATATCGAATACTATCGCAAAACAAAAAAGAAGAAAAATTAAAAAAAGAACGTGACGAAATTCCCAATAGCCCATCTTCTATTATTGGAAAACTAAATTCTAAAATAGCGAATAGTTAATTCGCAAGAAGGATCGCGTGTGACCGTGTAATTAATCAAAGAGTGGTCGTTATCGATTGCTAGCTTGGTTGTCCGATTGGCGGTCAACTTTATTTATTGTTTGTCAGCGCGAGTAACGTATACGCGAGTTTCGAAATACAACTTGACTGCAATCGGTTATGTAGCAACCTCCCCCTCACCCCCCTCCCCATCGCCCTTCCCCGTCTCGCTGTCAACTCTTTCCCTATCTCTTTCGATTTATCGTCATTTAATTAAACCGGAGCGGGGACTGCGTCGTCGCATCGACGCGCGACACCGCATTACACACCGTATTTCTGAAACTGCTACGCCGCGGTCGTGTTGTGCCGTAACAATTAAAAATCCATATTCAATTTGGCCGCCTTCCAGCGGTAATTCTGTTTTATTTCGCACATCCACGCCGTAAGTGTTTCCGTAAGTGACCTTTCGGTCGGGCCAATCTCGCTTTTCCTGCAATCTTGAATAATCGCGAATTAATTGCTTTCTTCGATGCCGAGCTTTAAATTGCCACTTGATTTCGAATCGGTGGCGTTGTTTTCTCGCTCATCGTGAAAATGAAAAGAAAAAAATAAATGTTATTTTATAAGGGTTCAGAAAGATTGGTTTAACCCTTTCAATTCCTCGATTTCGCTTATATTGAAAATTTGATCAGTGATAAATACACGATGATCACAGAAATGGTATGCTGTTGTATTTTTTTGTAATATTTATTTAGTAATTAATTAGGTGTAAATATATTGTACTTTATATTATATTACAATTTGTTATTACCGGAAGCGAAATGTAAAATGTAAAGATTAGAAGAACAGTTGGTTGGAAACTAAGGGATATATTGTAGAAATATTTTTTTTTGAAATAGGCTTCGAATTTTAATGCATCGTATCTTCTTTACGAAAACGTCGTAAAAAGATATTTTTTTATCATGAATAACCGATAAAGAAAAATTGTATCTACTTATAATTATTATTATTATCAAATTTTTTTTTTAAAATGTAAACATAAAGATAACAAAAAAATATATATTAGAAGATAATAATAACGTATAGAAAAAATATACGTATGTTATACGTATCCAGAAAACAACGAAATTACGAAAAGTTGAAATACAAATGGAATTGAAGATCTTATAGAACCGATAGATGCCCTTAACTTTTTATTGAACGCGTTCGAAAAATAATTAACGAGCTTGTCTACAATTTTCTTAATGAACATCATCCTCTGATAAGAGTAAATTGTATGTTCTACGTTAATTAGATGATGCTCAGTTTAATTAAAGGATTGCGCAACATATCGCATATTTGTTTGTCTCACGCGATTTTACACGCTATGCCTACGATAATTTAACTTATATAAAGTTTCCTTCCGAACACGTAAAAGTTCGTTGTGTTTGCACTTCTTTCTCTTTTCGTCACACTTAAGCATCTGTTAAAAAAATTCTTAATTCCCTGTAATCTCTTGCTATCGCGTCTACTGCAAGATTTACTATTTTCTATTTCTAGCTTCGTATTTCAATATAATTGCAATGATGATTTAACCGTAAAGATTATTCTTTCACACTTATACACTGAATCATTCAGAAATCAAACTTCATTCGTTGTAAATTTTTCACTGTCATTGGGTCGGTATTGAAAATTAACCGAGCCTGTAAGAAA